GGTGTGTTTCCAAAGTTTTCCTTTAGTTTTTTGAGCAGTGAACATAAAGTTAAATTCATTGTTTCAATCTTTATTGTTTCTCTGTTTCTTCAAAAAAAGCCATGCTGGAGACTCTGCATGAACAGCACTGCTAACATGCAGTTTAGTCAGTTTATACCTGCTTGACCACATGCTAACCCTAGTTACCAGTTGCCATTAGCACAGCACAAAGCAAGGCAGGAGTTAAATCACTGTACGATTTAAAATGTGGCCGTGTTGATGGGACAAAAGAGCAGGTTAAGGTTAAGCGATAGACTAAGACATCCTGAGGGAATTATGAGTATCTGTCGAGGCGTTTGAGACTGTTATTTTTCATTTCATTTGTAAACCAGCTTGTCACGCAAGAAGGACAAGGCAAGAGATTGTAAAAGTCATGACTCACATATGCATTCTCTGGCGACCATGAATGTCTGAACCACATTTTATGCGTGTCATCTCTGAGGCATATTTACAGCAGTGCACCAAAAGATCGCTTTGAAATGAAAACCTGCAGTATTTTGCTGTCACTTCCACTGTGGGATGATGAGTTAACACAACAGCTAAAGAGCCAAGTGAATGTTCTCACAACCACGGAAGTAAATGAGAAACACTCGTTTAATGTGGAGGGTTTTATGCTCGCTCTTTCCTTTTGGCTCATCTTGTCCTTGGCACAAGCTCATAGTGGCTGACCTTTGCTACCTGCTGCTACATTTACATTTTAGATTTAACACTTCTCCTCTTTCCATGTGAAAATGTAGCTAGTCAACCTTTGTATATAGTTTAAAAAAAAAAAAGGATAGGTTAAAATTGTACTTGATGTAATGTTTAACTATTATAGCTGGAACAACCCTCAAAGCTGCAGCCCAAAAACACAATCACTAAGATGTGTGTATGGTCTTTAGCTGGCCAAAAAATCTGGGAAACCTGATCCTACATGTGTCCATAGGCTTTGTTTAAACTCTGTGTTTATATAAATCAATGGGAGCCCAGGTTGAAATAATTTGTGGTGTAAAGCACAAAGCAGCCCAATAACCAGGACAGACACACAGATGGTGGCTGGATCATGCAGAGGATTGACCTTGTTTCCTCTTCAGCTCTGGATTTGATTGTGTATAATCCTGGCCCACTGACAGACTGACTGATCATCTGTTGATAATAAAAAAAATGTCAGCAGTTTCTTTTTTCTTTCTGAAACAAAAATAAGTTTTAAAAAATGAACAGCACGCTAAATGTTGAATGTGACCTTCAAGTGCCTCATGGGAACAAAAGGAGTAAAAACAGAGCCAGTTGAGAAAGCAATGGAGAACTACAGGCATGATGCCAAGCTGCCAAGTTAAAAGTGCTTTTAAACAAATGACGCTAACCCCTGTTAAATGTATCATGCAAATAAAGTTGAGCATGTGCTTTAAAACTACCATGCATTCCCCTAATTTTCCACTGAACTAACCATGTGCCCAACAGTATAGTATTATTATGGAATAAAAAGAAAGTAAGGATAATTAAAGAAAGGATTAAAGAAAAAGCAGTAGCAATTAGAGTAAATCTGTGGTTTATGCTTTTGTTTCTTGGCCACTAGGGGGCAAAAAAATCAGCAGACCACAACACAAAGGTATCATCGCTTTTTTAAGCTGTTATGGCTAACAGTTAGAAGTTAGAACAGTTAGCAGTAGAAAACATATAGCCACTATATCTTTTTATGAAGTGTAGCCACTTAAAAAAAAAAACATTAACTAAAAATATTTAGCTGATAAATCCCCCTGTTTGTCAGGTTTTGTTGTTTGCATGTCTAACTGACTGCACAGATTGTGTGTTTTAGAGGCCGTGCACACGCAGTATTTGTTAATAGAAGTGGAATAGCCTCACAGTAAGTGCAGCACTGTCCCGCTTGTCTTACAAGTGGTTCACTGATGGGCAGTGAGGGTGGGAGCAATGGACTGAAAAGGGATGGAGCAGCAGCACCAGCACACTTCACCACCTGCCACCCTCTGAGTTGTAGGTGGGGTCAAGAGCCCCATGGGGCAGGATTTTGGAGGGAATATACTCTCCTCTGGCACAAGCATATGCACAGAGAGACAGATACACATAAAACCAGACCCTCTAATCTAGATCCCACATCAGACCCTGCAGTGAGATGCTACAATGGGATTTACCATAATCTGAGCCCCTTCAGACAAAACACCACTGTGACCTGCAGTCTTTCAGAACAAAGCACAAAGGGTGCATGTTTTGCTTGTTCTTCTAGCAGAGAACTGCAAGGAATTCCTTGTTTTATCTCAATCAAAACACTGGATGTTGTACTACTCAGGACTAAAAATACACAGACTGTATATTAATGCAGGACAGCTGGGTGCACAGTTATATTCTGTGGTTGTTGATAAGAATATTAACTGAAGACAGTGCAAAGGTAAGACCTTTTACATTGTAGCATTCTTGCGAATAAAGAGCGAAAATGCAGCACGGGTCTACAAAGAGCACCTTGTTTCCTTGCATAATCCTGTCTGCTGGTGAGCTTAGTCGATCTGCTGTGGGCTCGATGTTATTGTGTAATAAGTGAAGCCAAGTGCAATGTTTTCCCCGAGGTTGAAGCCGTGGAGGGCCTCAAACCATAAACTGATCACTGCATGCCTTTCATCCTCCTTTCCTCCCATGCTTCTTAATTCAGATAAAACTGAGGTTATTGTACTCGGCCCTGAAAAGCCTAGAAATATGGTATCTAACCAGATTCTTACTCTGGATGGCATTACCTTGGCCTCCAGTAACGCTGTGAGGAACCTTGGAGTCATTTTTGACCAGGACATGTCCTTCAATGCACATATTTAACAAATATGTAAGACTGCTTTCCTCCATTTGTGCAACATCTCTAAAGTTAGAAATATCCTGTCTCAGAGTGACGCTGAAAAACTAGTTCATGCATTTATTACTTCCAGGCTGGACGACTGTAATTCATTATTATCAGGATGTCCTAAAAACTCACTGAAAAGCCTTCAGCTAATCCAAAATGCTGCAGCAAGAGTACTGACAGGGACTAGAAAGAGAGAGCATATTTCTCCTGTTTTGGCTTCCCTTCATTGGCTTCCTGTTAAATCCAGAATTGAATTCAAAATCCTGCTCCTCACATACAAGGTCTTAAATAATCAGGCCCCATCTTATCTTAATGACCTTGTAGTACCATATCACCCTATTAGAGCACTTCGCTCTCACTCTGCAGGCCTACTTGTTGTTCCTAGAGTATTTAAAAGTAGAATGGGAGGCAGAGCCTTCAGTTTTCAGGCCCCTCTTCTGTGGAACCAGCTTCCAGTTTGGATTCGGGAGACAGATACTATCGCTACTTTCAAGATTAGGCTTTAAACTTTCCTCTTTGGTAAAGCATATAGTTAGGGCTGGACCAGGTGACCCTGAATCCTCCCTTAGTTATGCTGCAATAGACATAGGCTGCCGGGGATTCCCATGATGCATTGAGTTTTTCCTTTCCAGTCACCTTTCTCACTCACTATGTGTTAACAGACCTCTCTGCATTGAATCATATCTGTTATTAACCTCTGTCTCTCTTCCACAGCATGTCTTTCATCCTGTCTTCCTTCTCTCACCCCAACCAGTCGCAGCAGATGGCCCCGCCCCTCCCTGAGCCTGGTTCTGCTGGAGGTTTCTTCCTGTTAAAAGGGAGTTTTTCCTTCCCACTGTCGCCAAAGTGCTTGCTCATAGGGGGTCATATGATTGTTGGGTTTTTCTCTGTATCTATGAAGCGCCTTGAGGCGACTTTTGTTGTGATTTGGCGCTATATGAATAAAATTGAATTGAATTGAACTTTTAAAAGGTCAAATCTAGCAGGGTCACCTTTAAACCAGAGATATCGTGACAGGTACCTGCACCAACAGAGCATCGTGTTGACTGATAGTATCACGTGTTCTGGACTGCTATGAAAAACATCATGTATCCTTTCATGGGCTCGTCCCTCTGCTCTCTTTAGAGCTTCCCTGCCTTTGTGTGACTTTTGTCGGCTTTGCCTTGTGATCTCGGGGGGAAAAAATGGGGGAAGTGTTTCCAACATGAATATAGGCCACAGACACTGTGTTCTTAGGCTTTATTAGTTTTCCCATCAAGCCTGAATTATAAATAATGCAGTGAGACCCCTCCTCTCCTGCACATACAAAACCCTCTCTCTGTGTCCCTTTTTTTCTATAGGGTGCCCCCACCCTCACAAAACTCCCACCCTGCTCACTTTTTAATTTGCTCCTTCTTTCTACACCCAGCACCCTCCTCGGGCACCACTCAATTTCTTTTTCCTCCTCCCCCCTCTACCCTCCATTTATTTCTCTCTTTCCTCAATCCCCTATAGTCTCCCTTTCATTCTCTCCCCCTCTCGTCCTTGTTTTAAGGAACCCTCGGTCTCTGCGCAGTCTGCAGCAGGGCAGATAAGACGGACAGAGGACAGAATGATAATCGTGTTTAGTCACAGCTGAGATCCCCTTGGCAAGGTTCAGCTCAAACGCTTGGAGGAGGTGACGTCGGTTTTGTTGTGGTGTGTCCCCATGTGACTCCGTACTCACACCTACAGTATATGTGACGTTGCTGTGCATGTGAGAGCAGGAGGATAACATACCAGCTACTCCTTGCTGACTTCTCTTTCAGCTCTTTTTTTCTCCTGCCTCCTGTCTAATCTCTGTTTTCTTCTCCCCAATGCCCTTGTCTCATTCCTCTCCCACTTTGCCCTTGCTTCTCCATATTTCCCCATCTGCTTTCTTTCTTTCTTCCTCTATTTCCTCTCCTGCCATTCCTCCTTTCTCTTGAAGTCTCCTTCCTCTACCATGTCCTCTCTTCTCCCCTTTCCTCCTCTCCTCCGCTCCGCTCCCACTAAAGCTGGAGGAGGAGGAGGCTGTAGCTGACAGGCCCAGCCCCCTGCGCTCTGACTCGTCCACGCTGTGTGTGACGGGAAGGCTGGGCTGTCCCGAGCATTATCTTAACACTCACACAGCTCCTGACACACAAACATACACACATATACACAGCGACAGCCTGTGCCAGAGCTCGCCTGCGCTGTCAGCTCAAGCCCTCTTAAAGCTGTTTTTTTTCTCTTCTCTCTCTCTTCTGGAGATCTCTCCTGAACGCTGGAGAAATAAGGACAAGAGGAGCCAGGGGAAGGGAAGGAGAGGACGATCACAGGGGAAAGAAAAAGAAAACACGACCGGCAGCCTCTTAACTTGTGTCCCTGTTCAGTCATTCTTCTGCAGGGAGTGTTTTCTGCTGTAGTTCAGGACTTTTCTTTTCTTTTTTTTGTGAGAGAGGGGGATTGGGAAAAAAAGAGGGGCTGGAGTTCACATGACATAATCGGAGTGAATGGGTTGCCATGGTGACTCACCCAGGGAGCCTGACCCGTACAGAGTGAATGGAGGGAGCGCCTTGGACGCCAAGTGAGCGATAAACTAAAGTAGGGGAATCACCAGAGAGAGAGAGAAGGAGCGAAGGAGTGGTGGGATACCAGAGGGAGCACAGAGGTGCCGAGCAGAGGCTGAGAATGGAGGACGGTTTTTCCAGCTACAGCAGTTTATATGACACCTCATCACTGCTACAGTTCTGCAACGGTAAAACTAAACTAACCCTTCATATACTCCCATCCCTCTCTACTATGAACTGCATGCTGCTTTCTGGATTTGACATGTCACCAGCTGACTGGTGTGACTTGACACCCTGCAGAGGTGTTAGATGTTGCAGACATGAGCTGGGTTTCTTTAGTAAAACTATAACATTTTCCATCATTGTTTAGATCTGGATGCTCTTCAATTGATTAATCACTAGACTTACTGTCAAACAGACGGATGTTTAAGTCAAAGCAGGCGCTCCCGGGTTGACATTTACAGGATGAAAGAAAAACTAAAAGCACTGCAGATTTAACAGGAAGTGTTTGAAATCAAGGCCGGGCTGATGTCAACAGCCTCCATCAGGAGAGAGCTAATAAACAAAGAGGAAGGGAGGATGAGAAACAGTCCTTTGCTCACAGCGCTGCCCCGGCTCTGCTCGACGTGATGAAGGGCTTGTTATGAATGTATACACAGTGTACGTATTCTGCAGTTTGCCGAATGAGACAAAACGGTGTGACAGAACAGGACACTCCTTCTCGCCTGCTGCAACGTGATTTCTTTGCTGGCACAGGGAGAAACCGTACTTCAGACTGATAATGTTATGGGTGGGAGAGGGTGACTCAGGGAAGAGCGAAGAGCAGCATGACACATCAATATTAGGATTCATTTCCAAGATGCGCCCATTCTTCTTGACGACTGAGCCCTCGTGTGAGACGTATGCTCAGTTTATGTATCGACAGCATACTTTAAGTGATGCCTGCATTTATCCCAGTACAACGGGACAGTTTTTTCTTTCTGTACGGCTCAGTTTGTTCATAGTCACTGCTGGTGTGTACCAACTACAGTGACACACACATAAGGGGATTATCCCCAACACAACCTGTGTCTGTGATAGGGAGCAGCAGAGGGAGTTTAAACCACACTGTTTTGTTGTTGTTACTAACATGTGCTTTAAAATGTTGATCACATGGAAAGGGGGAACACTCACTTCACCCTCTTTTATTGTGCTTGTCCGTAGCAGTGACTGTGATGTCGTGGTTAGCGTGAGCTATCACTGCTGAAGGATGGAGTAACATAATTGCCATTGGTGGATAATGAGAAAATCAATCATATTTACTGTGCTGTGTAAGCACCAGCAATCAGTGAGATGAGGGGAATACCACTGGCCAACCGAGCAAATCAGAGGTGTGGAATTGCACTGACGAATGTCCCACCAGGGTTACTGGTCGCTTCAGTGTTTTAATGCATAACTGATGAGGTGAAACTACTTAAAAGCTTTCACCCCGTATGGATTTCCTTTATTAAATTTATAGCCAGCCACAGCAGCTTAGATACAGACAAAGAGGGGGGTAAAAAGGGGTAAGAGAAGGGTATCGAGTAGAGAAGAAAAGCATCTTCATCCATAAATGTGTTTTCTTTTTACCCTGTTTACCCTTTAGAAGTCCTTTCATAAGACTTGGAGGAAAACTGGGCACCATTACAGGGTTACAAAAATGATAAAATCAAGCATAACGAAACCAGCTGTTGGATAAAACAAAGCACATAAGTATGTAATACAAAATCCTTTGAATTCACAGAAGCAGAATAATGAAGCCCTAGTGTAAAATAGGAGACTGATTAAAAATGGTGCTTCGTTTTTCCTGGTGTCTACAGTCACAGGGAATAATAAGGAACAAGGATATGTGAAAAAAGACGAGGCATCAGGCCAAATCTAGTTTGTACATGATCGAATGTTTCCTGGTCATTCCTGTGTGATGAGTAAAGTGCTGTCAGTGCCAGTGATAAGAAGAGACATTGGTTTGGTTGGACTGACCTGAAAAACAGGTGTAGCAGCGAGTGTAGAAGAACAGGAGGCCTGCAGTTTCCTCCTAGGAATTGCCTGACCTTTATAGCAGTGGCAGGTACGGCTTTTCTGATGTGTCAGACTCGAGGTTTAGTTTTAGTGAAGGGTGAAAAAGTGTGACGTCGGAGCAGTAAAGGACAGCTGCACCACATTACCACTTCATTGACTTGAGTTACTCCATGCTAAATGATTTTTTCCCTCTCTTCATGCTGCACGTTTTGCCAAGTCATGACCGTGAGCAGATTTGAGTTGTCCAACACCGCAAGGTTGTTCGTGTTAATTTTCTGAAGGGATGTCAGTGAAGTAAGACATGCCGCTCAGAGGCTGTTGCCAGGGATTTTCCGACCTCTACCTTCTTGCTTTCTCTCTCTGCCTCGCTACACAAACGCACACGCAAACTGAGGAAGCAGCATCTTGTTTGTTGTTTCGACAGTCCGCTTAGTGCATGAGCTTCACTTTAAACCAAAAAAAAAGAATATATCTGTGTTTGTGGCGGTCCAAGTTGGATCTGTTGTGTGTATGGAGTGTACTCACACATCTGCTCGGCCACTGTGGGCTTTGTTTGGTCCTGTAGGCCAAAATGACATCATGCTGCTCTGCTTCTGCCATCCAGCTGAACCCAGATCAGCAAAAGTCAATGATGTCATTCATTCCCCTCTTTTTTTTTTTCCATTTCTCTGGCCCGTGTGTTGTGGAGCATCCAACCAGACTAATGTTCAGAGACTAGGTCAGCTAAACTGCGTTCAGGCTGCACGCTTTGTCCTTGGGAGCTCAGGGTTATCTTAGGCTAAATGAAAATTAGCGCCATTACACTGTCATCACACACAGGTGAAGAAGGACGTGAATCCTTTTTTTTCCTTTTAAAAATCTCATTTCAAACACCTTAGTTCTGCAGAACAGGTTTACATTGAATTAGCCTGTTTTCTTGGGCTGGTAATACTATTGCCGATGTCCTGAAGTCAAACTGGTGTGGTTCTTGCCCATTTTAAGTGAGTGTTTGTGCATCACTTCCAAGTGCCGTCCCAGTGGTTTCCTGTTCTGCCTGCATATACTTCATTATTCACACATATGGTCTAGATTTCTTTAATAACACGATTTTGACACAGCAAAAGAAATCTGACTGCAGCATGAAAATGCAGCATGTAGATGCCACAGCTAAAACATCCAAAGCCACCAGACTAAAACATCAGTTAATGCGATTCCTAAAAATCCAGTAAATCCAGCTCACTTATGACAGTATAATACTGATGATGACATGCTGAGGGTCATCTCACAGGGTCCAACATCGCCATTCTAACTATTATTAATCACCTGTTCATTTATCTTTTGAGCTAATAAAACCTGATTAAACATCTCTTTATGTCTATGCTCCACGCTGGCAGTGAGTGCGCTCACCTAACCATCACTGGCTCCTTGGCAACTTAACACACCAGCAGCAGAGGGGGCAGGGCGAAGAAGAAAAGACTGGAGCCAAAAAAAACAAAACATAAAGAAAACATCGCGATAACAGTTCATAAGAAAAAATAAGGATGTTAGAATTAGTAGGAGGGCAGACGGATGGAGCAGACGTGTAGGGGAAGGAGGGAAATTAATAAAGACGGAGAACGCTTTGATGTTTGTTGGAGGAATCTTGATACGCAGCAGAGGTGACACGACTTCACCCAGTCTCCCCCACTTCTTGGCTGTGGCTCTGTGGGTATGTCCATCCAAACCCTGACTGATGATGGCACGTGGAGAGGGATTAGGATTAAAGCCCCGCTCACGTTACCGTCCACAGTAGCCAAGAAGGGATGGCAGACAGGAGGATGAGGTGAATGTATTTGTGTTAGAGCGGTTGGAGTCCATTTAGTTTTGAAAAGCCAGTTCAAGCAGTTTCTTCATTTCTCTTTTACGTATCAATTATGGGCCTTTTGCATGTTTTTAGTTTCCCTGGTTTTCTCCATTCTGACTTTATTTATTCCTTTATTTCTCTTTGATTATTCCATATCCATCTATCCAACTATCCATCAAAGCCTACTAAAACTCATTGCAAACTGGCCTGTGCTCTGAAATTTCTTCCACTCTGATAAAACTGCACAAAAACATCAATGTAGAAACATTAAGAAGAAAGTATTAGGAAATTATGTGTCTCTGTGCCATCAGTCATCTGTAACTGCCCTACGCGTAAAGCAGTCTAATAAATATCGACGTGAACGGGTTAACTCATCCAAAGCTGCTGATTCATGCAAAGTTTGATATTGATTTCCTATGGCCGTGTCAGTGAGAGCATAGACACACACACACACACGCACACACACACACCACTCTCTATTTAGTCTAATTTTTTCCCTCTCTCAAGCCCAGCGCGCCTGGAGTTCTTTCATTTCTAAAACTCTGACTCTTCTGCCCTTCGCTTCTCGAGCTCTTCCCCTCTCCCTCATCCCTACGTCAGACTTTCTCAGGCTCTTTGTTTGATCTTGTGCGAGTGCCCCAAGTGGAGCTCAGAGTGCTTTTCTGTTTTGTGTTTTTTTTTAAATCTGCAGACAGTCAGATATTGAGCCAGGCCACTTAGGCTTCAGTACTCACGAGTCACGCCGCCCCCCCGCCCCCTCTCTACTCCTTATCTCCCTGTTTCTTTCTCACTTTTCTCCTGATAAGCTTTGCCTCGCACTTTTTTCTTGAATAGGGGCACATTGGCTGCTAACAGATAAAAAAGAAAAGTGGCTCTGTACTTACCGTCATTGAATGTTTGTATGTTTACAGCTACATCGAGCTGCTTTTGAGATTTGTGAGAAATTCATGCCTCCTATGTAGTGCGAACTGTTCATTTCACGGCAGCCTTGACGCAGCTAATCATGAAATCTCTATCTTAAATACTTCTAAATATGGCATCCCGTAGTGTGCACAGTGGAGAATTTATCTGCGTATTGCAGCATGTTGTATAAAATCTGCATGGAAGAGGAAGATTAGGCCATGAGCCAGGATCTCACTGAGCAATTTTTGGCACAAATGTGTCCACCCTCAGTTATATAGCGTGTTACTGACATCTGTCGAGTACATGCATACATGCAGAGGTCAATGAAAAGCCAAATCTGCCTTAAAAGCCAAAGGAATAGTACAAAGTATGTCTATAAGATTATGTATGAAAGAAAGAAACATGCATGGCACACAGTAATGTATT